TGTACCCAGTGGACAGTTTCAGACCATGCAAGATTACAACTCTACCACATCCACAAGTGACAGACTCAATGGGTAGACTTGGTGAGCACCAAAGCCCCAAGTCCTGTTCCATAGTGGTGTCTCCTGCACAGCAGCTCTTCCGCTGTAGTCACAGCTGGTCCTCACAACCAATTGGCCTGGGAGTCAATTCCTCCCAGTGACACCAGCAGCAGTCAAGGCTCAATTACAACAGGACAGTGCACACAGACCACACTGGGGTGCACTGAGAGTACCCAGCTCAAGTGACTGGGGAGGCTGAGCCACTGGGCCCTATAGACACCTACTACACAAGGCCACTATACCAATTAAGGAGACATAGCAGCTCTACCTAATACATAGAAACAAACACAGGGAAGCAGCCAAAATGAGGAGACAAAGAAACTTGTCATGAATGAAAGAACAGAAGTCTCCTGAGAAAGAACTAAATGAAATGGAAGTAAGCAAACTACTAGATGAAGAGTTCAAAACAATGGTTATAAGTATGCTCAAGGAACTTAATGAGAGTTTCAAAGAAATTAGTGAGAACACCAAAGACATGAAAGAGGACCAGTCAGAAATGAAGGATACACTAACTGAAGTGAAGAATGATTTACAGGGAATCAAGAGCAGAGTAGAGGATTCCGAGAATCATATCAACAATTTGGAATATGAGGAAGCAAAAAACACACAATCAGAAGAGCAGAGAGAAAAAAGAATACAAAAATATGAGAGTAGTGTAAGGAGTCTCTGGGACAACTTCAAACATAGCAACATTTGCATTATGGGGGTGCCAGAAGGAGAAGAGAGAGAGCAAGATATTGAAAAACTATTTTAAGAAATGATGACAGAAAACTTCCCCTACCTGGTGAAAGAAATAGACTTACAAGTCCAGGAAGCACAGAAGTCCCAAAAAAGAGGAACCCAAAGAGGCTCACACCAAGACATATCATACTTAAAATGCCAAATATTAAAGACAAAGAAAGAATCTTAAAAGCAGCAAGAGAAAAGCAGTTAGTTACCTACAAGGGACCACCCATATGACTGTCAGCTGATTTCTCAACAGAAACTTTGTAGGCCAGAAGGGAGTGGTAAGAAATATTCAATGTGATGAAAAGCAAGGACCTACAACCAAGATTACTCTACTCAGCAAAGTTGTAATTTATAATTAAAGGTCAGATGAAGAGCTTCACAGACAAGAAAAAGCTAAAGGAGTTCATCACTTCCAAACCTGTATTACAAGAAATATTAAAGGGTCTTCTTGGAGAAGGAGAAGGAGAAGGGGAAGGGGAAGGGGAAGGGGAAGGGGAAGGGGAAGGGGAAGGGGAAGGGGAAGGGGAAGGGGAAGGAGAAGGGGAAGAAGGAGCATGAACAATAAAATGGCAATAAATACATATCTATCAACAATTGAGCCCTAGCTGGTTTGGTTCAGTGGATAGAATGTCGGCCTGCAGATTGAAGGGTCCTGGTTCAATTCCGTTCAAGCGCACATGCCCAGGTTGGGGGTTCGATCCCCAGTAGGGGACATGCAGGAGGCAGCCGATCAATGATTCTCTCCCATAATTGATGTTTCTGTCTCTCTCTCCCTCTCCCTTCCTCTCTGAAATACATTAAAAAATATATTAAAACAAACAAACAGACAGACAAAAAAACCCAATTGAATCTAAAGATAAAAATAAATAACAAGGAATCTAATGAACAATATAAACTGATGAATAAAATAGAACCAGAAGCCTGGAAACAGAACAGACTGGAGAATCTCCGAGGGAAGCGGGGAGGGGCACAGGACACAGACAATAGGGTGGTGAAAGCCTGGGCGGAATGGGATCTGGGTGGAGAGGGTCAATGGGGAAGAAAAGGAGGGACATCTGAAATATTCTCAACAATAAAGATATAAGAAAACCTTAAAAAAGGAATAAAGTACATAGGAATTAAGTTAACCAATGAGGTGAAAGACATACACTGAACAACTACAAAAATCATTGCTGAAAATAATTTAAAGACATAAATAAATGGGAAGGCATTCTGTGTTCATGGATTGGAAAAAATGTTAAGATGACAATACTGCTCAATGTAATCTACAGATTCAATGAAATCCCTATCAATAACCTAATAACATTTTTTTTTGGCAAAAATAAAAAAATCCACCCTAGCCCTAACCGGTTTGGCTCAGTGGATAGAGTGTCAGCCTGAGGATTGAAGGGTCCCAGGTTCGATTCCAGTCAAGGGCATGTACCTTGGTTGCGGGCACATCCCCAGTAGGGAGTGTGCAGGAGGCAGCTGATCGATGTTTCTCTCTCATCGATGTTTCTAACTCTCTATCCTCCTCCTTTCCTCTCTGTAAAAAATCAATAAAATATATTAAAAAAAGAAAAGAAAAATCCACCCTAAAATTCATATGGAATTTCAGGAGACCTCAAAAGGCCAAAACAATCTGGAAAAAGAAGAACAAAATTGGAGGATTCACATTCTTGATTTCAAACTTTACTTCAAAGCCACAGTAATAAAAAACAGTGTGGCACTAGCATAAAGATTGATATATAGCGAGCCGGTGTGCTCAGTGGTTGAGCTTCAACCTATGAACCAGGAGGTCACGGTTAGATCAAAGATCTAAATATAAAATATTATTAGAAGACTATTAGCCCTGCGCACGAATCTATGAGCCAGTAGCCTGCCAGTAGCTGCTGCCGCCCTCCAGTAGCTCTCCGCCCACTGCCCCGCCCTACTGAAGCTCCTCCCCTCCCCCTCATAGCTTGCTGCCCTGCCCCCTCCTGTAGCTCTCCGCTGCCAGCTTGTAGCCAGTAGCTCGCTGCCGCCCTCCTGTTCTCCGCCTGCTGCCACGCCCTCCTGTAGCTCCCTCCGCCCTCCTCCCCACCTCATAGTTTGCTGCCCTGCCCCCCTCCTGTAGCTCTCGGCTCCCCGCTTGTAGCTCGCTGCCCCACCCTCCTGCTGATCTGTGATCAGGTCGTTATGTGGGGGGTCAAACCGACCATTTGCATATTACATCTTTATTCTATAGGATGCCTGGCCAGTGTGCTCAGTGGTTGAGTGTTGACCCATGAACCAGGAGGTCATGGTTTGATTCCTGGTCAGGGAACATGCCCAGGTTGTGGGCTCCACCTGGTAAGGGGCCTGAGGGAGGTGCGGATCAATGATTCTCACTCATCATTGATGTTTCTATCTCTCCCTCTCCCTTCCTCTCTGAAATCAATAAAAACATATTTAAAAAAATTCTTATAAGAGAACATAGGGTAAAAGCTTTAACATTAGGCTTAGCAATGATTTCTTGGATAGGAAACCAAAAGCACAGCAACAAAGGAAAAACAGATAAATTGGACTTTATCAAAATTAAAAAAGTTTGTGTATAGCCCTAACCGGTTTGTCTCAGTGGATAGAGCTTCGGCCTGCGGACTGAAGGGTCCCAGGTTCCATTCTGGTAAAGGGCATGTACCTTGGTTGCGGGTACAAGCCCACTAGGGGGTGTGCAGGAGGCAGCTGATCAATGTTTCTTTCTCATTGATGTTTCTAACTCTCTATCCCTTTCCCTTCCTCTCTGTAAAAAAATCAGTAAAATATATTTTTTTAAAAAGTTTGTGTATCAAAGGACACTGTCAACAAAGTGAAAAGTCACATGGAATGGGAGGAAATATTTGAAAATAATATATCTGATAAGGGATTAATATTCAGAATATATAAATAACTATTAAAACTCAACAACAAAAAAATCCAATTATAAAATGGCCAGAGGAACTGAATAGACATTTCTTCAAAGAAGATAAACAAATGGACAATGAGCATATGAAATGCTCAGCATCTCTAATCATTAAGGAAATAGAAATCTAAAGTACAATGAGATATCACCTCACATCCACTGAAATAGCTACTATCGAAACAAAGCAAAATAAAACAAAACAAAATAGTAACCACCTAGAAAACAATGTGTTCACAAGGACGGGAAAAAATGGGAACTTCTGTGCATTGCTGGCAGGAATATAACATGGTTCAGCCACATAAAATGGTATGGCAGTTCATCAAAAAATTGAACAGCACTAGCCGGTTTGCTCAGTGGATAGTGTACTGAAAGGTTCCGGCTCAGTTCCTGTCAAGGGCATGTACCTCGGTTGCAGGCTCCATCTCTGGTCCTGGTTGGGGTGCATGCGGAAGGCAACCAATTGATGTTCTCTCTCAAATTGATGTTTCTCCCCCTCACTTTCACTCTTTTTAAAAAATCAATGGAAAAATATCGTAGGGTGAGGATTAACAACAACAACAAAAATTTGAACAAAGAATTACTATTTGATCCAGTAATTCTACTTTTGGATATATACTCAAAAGAATTGAAAGTAGGGATTTGAACACCCTTGTTCTTAGAAGCATTATTCACAACAGACAAAAGGTAGAAACAACCTAGAAGTTCATGGATGGATGAATGATAAATGTGATGGATACATGCAATGGAATATTATTCAGCCTGAAAAAGCAATGAAATTGTGATATATGCTACAACATGGATGAAACTTGAAGACATTATGCTAAATGAAAATAGCCAGACACAAAAGGACAAATATCATATGATTCCACTTATATGAAGTACCTAGAATAATCATATTCATAGAGAGAGAAGTAGAATGGTGGTTTCCAGGGATTGGGGTTGGGGGGTGGGGAGCTATTGTTTAATGGGTACAGAGTTTTAGTGTGGTAAGATGAAAAAGTTCCTAATAGATAGTGGTAATGATTGCACAACAATGTGAATGTACTTAATGCCACTGAGCTATAGACTTAAAAACCCCACCACACAGCCCTGTGCAAGGTCACAGTGAATGCCAGACCCAGGGTCAGAAACTGAGCTCTTAACCACTTTGCCATTCTGTTTACTGTAAAGTCTCCTGATTGACATTCTGCCCCTGTGACTTCTGTCCATTTATCACACCATTGGTAGAGCAATCCTCCCAGGAAGATGTAGGATGGGGCAAGGGGTCACTTACTTTGCACATCCAGCCTGAAGGGGTCACTTTTGCTGGAACTGACGGGGTTGAAGATCTCACACTGATAATCCCCAGCGTCCTCCCTCCTGACGGGGCCTATGGTGAGGGTGCTGTTGCCCTGGGACAGCTTCATCCTGTCCGTGAGCAGGAGATTCTGGTTCTTGAAGAGCCACCGGATGGAGATCCCTCTGTCATTTGTGAGGCAGGTCAGGACCACAGCGTCCTTATGCTCTGTGACTGTGGCATTGCTGGCTCGGATGGAGGGCTTCCCCACGGGCTCTGTGGAGAACAGAGGAGGTGACTGACTGAGAGTGGGCTCCTTCCTCAGAGATGTCAGCCAATCACAGGCCACAGTGATCTCTGTAAAGGTCACCAGAGGACGACTCTGACCTCTGCAGGGTGAGGACCTTTGTTCAGGTGACAGTCTGTAAGGAGAGGGCTATACCCCTTCTCTTCCCTCCAGATCACCTCAGGATGACCCCTGACCTGTCTCCCTGGACATCTGTAGTATCAGCACCAGGAACCTCTTCTCAGACCGAGTGTCCAGGATCCTCATCATCAGGTGGAATTTTTTACCCACTGACCTTTTTTTCTTCCCTCATTTTATTTTATTTTGTTAATCCTCAACTGAGGATATATTTTTCCATTGATTTTTAGAGAGTGGATCGGAGGAGGGAGGGAGGAAGGGAGAGAGAAATATCAATGTGAGAGAGACACATTGATCAGTTGCCACCTGCACACGCTCTGACTGGGCCAGGATCAACTTGCAACCTCCCCGTGACTGGGAATGAAACCCACGATGCTTTGGTGTGCTGGCTGATACTTTAACAACTGAGAAACACCGGCTAGGGCTACCCATTGACTTTTGTGTGACTCTTTCCCAGACCTTTCTGTAGCTTCCTAAATAAGAGGGGGTAAATAATCATACCCCCTCTCTAGCATGGTGGCTATACATTTCCCT